GGGGGGCCGCGGATCAAAACAGGTTGAGGCTGAGAGACACGCTCATCCTGAGGCATTTTCGTCTCCGCTTCGAAAGCTCTGGAGTTTACGTTTTCGAACGATCTAGACGAAGCGAGGTTCTCCCGATTGACGTACACTTTCGGCTTTTCGACCCGACCAGCCGGCGAGACGCGTTGCAGAACTCTTGGCGGAGTGGTGGTGGTGAAGAGAGGCCGAGTCGTGGACAAGGAACCACCGTAAACGTCTGAATGATCGTCGTTACTACCTTCTACGATTGGATTAGGTTTCGTGGTGTCTTCGTGGAGCTGTCTCCTTAAATTATTCCCACTCGTCACTTTGGTCTCGTCCTCTTTCTCTATGAAATCGTCGGAGATGGGACGTAAAGTTTGATCGACCGGCCGTTTGGCAAAAATGATTTTTCTGTACGTGGATGTTTTATCATCCGTGGTTGGTCGATTTATCTGGGAATCTTCGTCCTCTATTTCGCTTTCTTCTTCGATTATCAGTGGCCTCTGTTGCCCGTTTATAATGAAACGTGGTCTATTCTTTCCCGTTCCTTTCAGATAATGACTGAATATCGTCTTCGGTTGTTCCGTCGTGGTCGTAGTTGTGCTCGTGGAAGTGGTCGTCGTCTTTCTGTTTCGCGGTATGGATTGAACCACCGACGATTTCGTGGATGCCTCGGTCGAGGAAGGATAGACGATGTTCGGTTTCTTGGTCGTGGTGGTACGATTTAAACGTGGAATGCTTTGTACGACGGACACGTGCTCCTGTAATGGCGACACCGTGGTTGCTTTAAATCCTGTTCCATTAGAGGAAGAGTACGATACCCTCTTAATTTCACCATCCGCGTCGACGAAACCGAACGTACCCTTGATGTTGCCTAAAACGTCACGGCTCTCAACCTGATAATAATTTCTTTCGTTCAGCAAATTTCTCGTTGATTTGAAAAGTTTTAAAAATATTTCATTGAATTGAAATTAATTTGGAAATATTTTTCTTTACGTGGACACGTTACGTGTGTAAGTTTTCGCTAGTAATAAATAAAATTTCGTTAAATATTTATATTAAATGGATATAAATTATTTGATTTTAAAAGAATAAATCGTATAAACGTAAGATTTATTGTATTACTCGAAATTGATAATTTATGCCAAGTACTTTCATGTTTTCTATTGCATAAATTTAACCTACTTTATTCGCTCTATTAGCGATGTTTCGAGAGAGAACTCTGCGCAATTAAGTTGTTCAAATTATTCAAAGAAGCTATTTCCTTTATTTCAACAATAATTAGAAAATATAAACGATGTCAATATTTAACAATTTAACAATTTAATTGCACAATTTGCTTGTTCAAACAGTACCTCTTTCCGCTAGAAGATTACTCGAATTATGAAACGCGTTACGTTACAACGATAAATCTCTCGAGTATTAAGAAACGTAGAACGCCCATTACATACCTTTCGCATTAAACGGTGCAAGCTATTTAATCTTACCTTGAAAGATCCATCCCCAGCCTCGTAACCGTACGTGTAAGAGCCGTCTTCATTCACTTTTCTGATCTGTTTCAGGATCGCCACCTGTTGATCGTGGTGTGTCTCGGATGTTTGCTGATCCGTGACGTTTGAACAACCCGCGGTAACCAGACAGAAAATTGCCATCAGCCATGGCGTCATCTCGACGGCGGCAGATGTTGATCTCTGTAAACAGAGAGTTAAATATAATTGGCGCATCTTATGTTTAATTCAATAATCTTTACCGCTTGGAATATAGTTAATGATAAAAAAACTAATGTCGCATCGATCAACATTATTTAAATTACGAAAGAATATTTATATAAATTTCTTAATCACTTGCATTTATTATATTGTATATAAAAACGATTTAAAAAAAAAAGATCGTTTCGATCGATGGTAACTTGGCAAAAAAAGAAGGTTGTTCACAAAAAAAATATTTTAAAAAGAAAAGAAAAGGAAAAAAGAGATGGAAAAATATTGAATTAGAAGAATCAAAAAAATCACTCTAGAAAACTAAGAAAGAAGATTGTTCACAAATAAAAAAATATTTTAAAAAGAAAAGAAAAGGAAAAGAGAGATGGAAAAATATTGAACTGGAAGAATAAAAAAAATCACTCTAGGACACTAAGAAAGAAGGTTGTTCACAAATAAAAAAATATTTTAAAAAGAAAAGGAAAAGAGAGATGGAAAATATTGAACGAATGAAAAAATCACTCTAGGACACTTTTCACTTAAACTGATTTTATTAGAGACGTCGAAGCACCGCACAGCAAAGAACTATCGAGAACTGTGCACTGAAAAGTGAAAACTGATGCACTGCTATATTCACAATCACCGGGAATACACAATGGATATATCGGATATATGCCGCGAGATATATCGTAATTAAATTTCGCTGGGTTAAATTAGCTTTTGTAGTTGTTCGATATTAATCAATTGATAGATGAACACGTTGCCACACTGATCGGTGAGCCGTAAGTAGTTCGAACGGTAAGTAAATACCTTGTAACTGGAAACCATGTTACCGCAGATGCGGTGAACGTTCTTAATATCGCGTGGGGTGCCCACTGCCGTTATATATAGAGTGACACAGCGTACAACCACCACCCTTTCCACCTCAACGTGCTCTCCAGCGACGCGCTCAACCTTGATGACCCCTAAATGTTGGTTACGAGAAGTATATGTAATATTGAATAATACACGCTAATCAAACGTTCTTGTCTCCGGAATTGAAAATTACGCAATTTTCGTTCACTTTTGGTATTGGCTTTTCTATTTCGATACATCGATCAATTTGGATCAATGGATCGGAATATTTAATATATATTCATTTTGAACGAAATAAAATTTTTTCGAAGTACTTTTTAAATATTTTATATTTAAATTTTTTATATCCCATATTTTACATAAAATTTATTTATGAATAGTAATAATTGTATTACACAACATAATTCCATTTCGTTTATGTACATTTTCTCCTCGTACCAACAAATCTAAAGTAACGTATAATAAACGTTTAATAAACGTTTTTCTAACAAGTAATAAATATTTCAGATCATTGCGTTCATCTATTCCTCGTATTGTTTTAAAGACATCATTCACAAAGCCTGCAATCTAACGATACAAGTCGAACTCAAAATTCCAATGGTTTTTCCATGCTTACAATTATTAATTATTCTTAAGAATAGTTGAAACATTCCATTTCTCGTCACGAGGAAAAAAGAAAGAACGGAATAAAAAAAAATTCGCGTGGATCACGATGAAAGTAAAGCGGCGACAAGAAAGAGCGGAAGTTTCTTTACAAATGGTGGGCGCAAAGACAAAGAGGAAACAGCGACGACAGAATAGAAGAAGTTTTGGACTCGAGGGGACACGAGTGAAAGCCACGTGGGAGTACGCGGCCAGACAAGAACAGTAGTAGTCTGTAAAATCTGTAACAATAGTTCCCATAGTGTGCAACATCTCGTATTGTGGTATTCGAGTTCTATTCTAGACACTCCCACAGGACAATTATTACATCATGCAATTTCCTCCAAGTTTCGTACAGAGATTCATTTTTTTGATGCCACCTTGATATGCCTCTGTCGTGGACCGTGGATCGGTTGTATATCTCCTCTTTAGATCCCTTGTTGTTCAATCTCTCGCGGATTGTCGTTGCACTCCCTCTCCCTAGTCAGTTTGTAGTTTCGAGTCATTGTTATTGGGAATTTTAAGACAGTCGCGTTGCTTAACCTCGCATTTGCGATTCTGATACGCGCGGGTACGCGTTCACCGGGCGTTTATTTGAAAAAAAAGAAAAAAAATTAATTGTCTGTCATCTTTTTTGATCCTCGAGTCGAGATTTCTGCTTTTATATACGGGAATACGGGTATTCATCTTCGTTTAATTAAGAATAGAGGAAATGACGCTTCAATTTCACTTTTCATCTTTCCTTTTATGCAGAGATTTTATCTTGCGATAGTTATGAAATCTTTGATCTTTCTTTTTGTTTATTAGAGATATAAATATTTTTGATATACGATCGCACGAAGAGATATTGCATTTAATTTTTCTTAAATTTTCTGTATTTGATTGATTGTCAAAAGATTTTGAAATTCATGACAAGGAAAATTGAGTTGTTAACGTTGTTTTTCATTTCTGATATCCATTTTTCGTTATTTGGAACTCGAAAACAAAGTTATTTTTGGTTTAAGATAAGAATTATTACGAAATTAAACTGATCGTGATAATTATACTTTGCGAGTATACTTCAAACGTCAAATGGAATCTAAGGGATATACATATACTTCAGGACATGCAATCTAACTTTCCGGAAGAAGTTAGCGAATACAGTGTTAATTGTAAGGCAACCACAGACCGTGCATTACTGTGAGTACGTTTTATGGACACGCCTACATTATTACCTGTGAAACAACTGACATTCTTGCTCTGAGAACTGAATAATGGTATTTTGTTTTAAACATTCCATAATATTAAAAATACACTTTAAATTTCATAGAGTTATCTTGAATCGCATAATTTATTTCTAAGACATGTTTTAAAATCTATTTTGCATTAATTTTTTCATTTTATGGAAAAACAAACTATAAATAACCATAGTTTATAAATATAGATGACAACATCGTTATTGCACTGTCCCGTAATTCTCATCCTAGATACATATTTGATTATGTATCATAGAATATCGATCATGATGACTCATTGATGACAGTACCTTGAACAAGTATATTACTTCTTTCGTAAAAATTCTTTCGTAAAAGTATATATTAATTAATACGTGAAGCAATTTTATATATATATATGGAAAAAAGATATTACAATATATATTGCTTTTTTTAAAAGAATCTATTTGTAATATTTAATTCTTTGTTTCAAAATTTTCAAAAATGCTTCAAAATGCCTTTATATGTTTTTAAATATACGAAAATACGCGCCTTATTCGATATATCTCGATACGTGCCGCGTTCGATATATCTTTCGATGATTGCGCGCGCATCGCTTCAGTAGTAACGTTCGAATTTGCCACAATGTCAGTGTCCCTTAAATTTCGCGAAAATAATTCAGTGTTTTAGACAAGTGAAAGTGTGTGAAATCAAACTTTGATATTAATTATAATTAAATGTAAGTAAATTTTTTTGTGCATATATAATTTTGTCGATTTTATACGATTTTGATATTTTTTAACTCAATTTGATAATCTTAGGTTAGATTAGCATTTTTGGCACAAATATGATTAAAATAATCAAGATTAATTTAATTATTTGATTAATTAATTAAAACATAATCATTTCTAAATAGTTTAAGCGAAGGAGAATTAAAATATGTATCTTTGTTGACAGGTTAATAAACTTTGTCATCTTTCGTCGTATTTCTTCGTGCATTTTTTTCGACAATCGATACGAACAGCAATATGCGTCACTGCAATGGTGAGTGAATACAATTTTCTAAAAGTAAGCATAGTTAATAAATGTAACAATAATATTAAGATAAATATTTATTTTAAATAACAAATTTTTGATTAACTATGCTTACTTATTATTATAATATTATTTTTATGAATTGTTTTTTAAAATTTACATTCAATTGCAATTAAAATTACAATTATTCTTTTATAAATTATGTCAAGTATAATTTATTGTCGAATATATTTTGTATCAAAATTATGAAAGAAATTGATTGTTTCATTAATCTTCCATCGGTAAGACAGTGTTCTATAAAGTTGCTATGCAACTTTCGCTAAATTCCGATAGTTGTAAAATCGTAAATTATACTGACATACTATAATATATTTATATCTACTATAAATTAAAAATTTTATACTAACAATAACATATATTTATCATAAAAATTTATATCAAAATTTAAATAATATTTTGTTTATTTGCATCAAATAATTTATTCTCGTCTTCGCTTATAAAACAAAAACTTCAGAATAGGTTAGATCATTAAGCAAAGGATAGAATATTAAATTTATAATTGAAGTTGTCTATAGAATAAATTTTAACTTTAATTAAATCAATCTTTTAAAATATCATTGAATTCAATATATTAAATAATTTAACAATAACTTGAGAGAAACATTTATCATTTAATGTATGTCGAAATTTGACTTCATATCGTATAAATCATTTGGTTCGCGCGCTTTCACAATTGTATTTCAAAGAGAAGTTTAAAAAAAGAATATTGGCAACTACTTGCTGTATATAAACTTGACGCGATTTGATTTAATACTTTAACCAGATCCTTTCGTTTTCAATCACTTTCACCAATGTAGTTAACTTTTACCGCAAAAGTGAATTTATTTACAAAGAACTATATATTCCCTTCCGCACTGTTTCCTGATTATTGTTCGATTCTTTTCATTTATTTTCGTTATCGTTATTCGTGTATATACTAAAATAAAAAAATATCTAGAATATATATATTAAGAATTCTTACGTTAAACCAAAGTTGAATATTTCTTTTCCGACATCAATAATCTATGTGGTTAATGTAATTTTACGTAAAAAAAAAAGAAATTTTCATTTTTTATCTCTACCTTTCTCAAAGCAATAAAAATTATTTTCTATCGAATATTAATATTCTTTTTAAAAATTGAATTAAATTTTCATTTGTTCATCTCAAAAATCCATCCATGATCTCCAAAGATCAGATCTGTTTCTTTTAAGGGGCTGAATTAAATTCTCCATCGTTCGTTTCAAAGATCAATCGATTATCTTCAAAGATTAGATCTGTTTCGTGACATTTGTATTAAAATAAATTTATACGATACCCTACGAGTAATCCAATTTAATCATCGAATCTCGAATACTCATTGCATCATTCTATTGCACCTCCCAAGATTTCAATCGAACTCGATTCTCCTTTCGAACGTTGCTGCCCTTAATCGGGCGAGGAGGTTGCACACGTGCTATTTATGATGGGATCGTAGCGAGAACGTAGAAACTTGGACATAGTAAACATCTCTGGTGATGTAATGATGCTTACATGCAATTGCACGCGTCGACTTCCTTATTTTTCTAATTTCTTTTTTACGGAAGCGGTTTCCGCGTGCGTTTAACCACTGTGAAACACGAATAGAAAATAGACCGCTGTCAGTGGCGGACTCGTTAATATTTGCTGCAATTACACGTTTGTGCGTACAAATGTTAAATATATATACACTGGTAACTTCATTTCTTGTTCCTTGGCGACGTAATTTCAATCAAAGACGCGTAATATCTTATCTAAGGAAAATTCGATCGATAAATAGAAATAAAAATTAAATTGAAAGAGAAATATAATAAAATATCGGTTCGTTTCTTTTAAAATATTTATAAAAGTATGCGAAATAAAAATACAATAATTGATCTAGATCTAGAATTTTTCTAGATTTTACAATTTCGTTGAAAAAAAAAAATTTCCGGAAAGGGAAAGTTAAAATTGTATAATTGTAGAATCGTAGGAATAACACGCGTCGAAAATTCCGACTGTCAATTAATATACATTGAAGTTACAAAAGCGTATCGAAAATTACGCAATCGCGTGTATAGATGTAAAAAATCGCGGAAGATGTCGCGTATCGAACGTTTATCATACTTACGATTTCTTCCAATACTTTTACTTTCTTTTCTGGCCCGTTTAGCGAGTGGGAA